CGTTGACAAAATTAAACACCAAACCCCCCCCCCCCCCCAAAAAAAACCCCCCATTAATGAAGCTCTATATTTATTAATATAATATAACATTTTTAAATTGTTAATGCAAGCGATGTAAGCAACTGAATTTAATTTGAGCTGGTATAAGCCTCTTGCAGTCTCTATACAGCAGAGATTGGACTGGAAGAGGAAGCTACTCATGTGCTATCAAGGAAAATGCTGATAGTAGGAGAAAGATTGGCTCATCAACGCTTGTAGTGTTGTTGGAGGAATCTGCTCTCTTTCTTGTTGAGCCCACGGGTTGAAGGGAAAAAAATAGAGCAGTATATGGCCAGCTATAGAGATTGGCAGGAGGAGTCACTGAGCACAGCGCAGAGGTTCAACACTCTTGGAAGAGGCTAGTGTTTTCCTTCTTTTCTTTGCAGGCTGCTCGCATTAACTAAGAGAAATGAGGTCCCCTCCCAAGCTAGACAGGGCTTTGCTGTGTGGCAGAGCTGTGTATATCTTCGGACTGGATATACAGAAATAAAAATCTTTTGGCAGGTAAAACTGCTCCCATGTATGTAGATCATCCTTGTATCTAGCGGAGAGCCTGAAGTTCAGCTTTATGGCCTGTTTCTTTTGAAATTAGAACTCCTTTATTACAAGAGATTAGAGATGCTCATCAATAATTAGAAGAAAACGGCAGAATGTTCTGGTGCATGCTGACAAGTAGGGTTTATTTTTTTATTTTTTTCCTAGCACAGTGCTTTCTTAAAGCGGGCCATTACCCATATCTTTAAAATATCTTTACAAATGTTTAGTAATGACAATCTACTAAACACATTTTAGATAATTGCCGGCTTTGCATTCCTTGCATACCTTTTCTCTTTTCTTCCCCAGTCTTCTGACAGTGGCCATGTTAACTAAGGGCAGATTACTAGCTTTCCATTCACTTCATTGAACTCTGGTACATGTGTCTAGGACATGTGACCATGTACATCATCTCAGGGGAGATAGATGCTTTTCCCTGTGGTCTCATGATATTGCAGATGAGATTTCCCAGTAATGCTCTGCTGATGTAACCTTCCCAGAATGCAATGCTTGGGCAGATACATAATTTGTGCCAGAACTGAGATGAACTCTATTTTTAAGTAAATGGAAAACAAGTGAATGTAAGACGAGTTTAAGTCGGCATGCAGAGGTGCACGCTGCTGCGATTTTTAGTAAAAAGTTGTCCACTTTAAGAATTGGATGTGTTTGTTTGGTGCTATACTAAAGATGGCATGTGGTAAGGCTGCAGGGAGGTCTAGTATGAGACTGTTGGTGTTGGCGTCCAGCTCCAGACACTAAAGGAAACATGTCTGTGTAGGCAGAATACTAGATATATCTATGAGCGCCAGTGCTATTTTGGAGAGGGCAGTTTATTGGACCCCGGTTCTGTCAGAAGAATACATTTTGGCATGAGTAAGGGCCTGTGTGATGGAGTGGGTTTGTTTCAATGGCATCTGTTTGACTGTTTGAGACCCTTGTGTGGTCATTCAGAATTCATTCACTGGATACATTTTTGTCTGCAGTTGACCTCCTTCTAACCTGCATTTATCCAGCTTCAAGTGATTTTGCATTCCTATAGACATGTATGGGAATACTGAACCTGTTTGATGCAAGCAAAATCCCCCTGACACAGACCCTAAAGCTGGTGTATGTTAGAGATCCCCAGGGATGCAGCAAGCAGTTTGCACACAGATGGACACAGGTCTTTCTGACTTTTTTCTCTTAATGACAGTAGACTGAACACAATGGCATCTCATGATGTTTGGGGGTGTTATGGTTGTAAGGAGCTGTAAGTAAAATGTTCCTGATTTATGAAAGCATCGGAAGTTATTGCATTTCCTATAATGCGGCGGGAGAATTTAATTGTCATGTGTCCTAATGTAGACTAGACTGTCATAGAGGACCTTTTGTTTCTCATACAAATATCAAATCAATTTGAGAGATGTTTGCTTTAGACTAGTAAATTGTTTCCAATATTCTAGGTAGGCAGATTATTATGTGTACAGAACAAGTAACACTTCACACAGCTCAACAGCACAGACATGTGGAAGAAAACCGCATTACCTAGTACAACACAACCGCACAAATAATTCATCATTTCTTTACTGTGTGTTACAAGAAGTTACCTATAGAGGTAATAGTATTATAAGATCTAGCAAAATGGTGCATCGGGGATCACACTGGGGCTAACTCCTAATCAAATACTTTTCATTGATGAATAGTTGTTCCCTATGGCAATACATACTCCCTTAGGTCAAGTCTGAATGTGGTTGTTATTGTCAACATTGCTTCCCTTTCTTATACCAGCTCTAATACATGTGCGTGATCAGCCCCATTTCTTTTTATCACCCAACTTTATACTGAACAGGCATTAGCCCACTGATATACTTGCTGTATGTTCTTAAAGGGGCACTGTCCTTAGAGCTTAATGAAGGCTGCCATTACTAAACTCTCCTTTTGAGAACGCTAGTTAACTGGCTGTAAATGAGACAAATAGGTCACTTTTCTGACACCAGTTTACAGCATGATTGTTCTGAACTGTGACAGAAACATACCAAAATCAGAGACAGCCAGGCACATGGCATTTTCAGGAGCGGTCTGTAGTGTCAGCCCCTATACTTCAATCATACCAAAGTCGCTGTAATGCTCTGTTATATTACTTTTTTTTTTGTTCCATCCTGTTTATAACTTTTCACTTTACTTTGACAAGATGCAAACACAATTGAGACGTAACAATTAGGGATGGGCTCGATGTTCGAGTCAAGCATGAGTTTGACTGGAACATCGGCAGTTCGTGTGTTCCGCGAACACAAGAACTGTCAGGGCGTTCGGCGGGTTGTTCGCCCCACGAGCGCCCCACAAGGCACTGTGCACCGTGCAGTACCTTGTGAGCGGATGGTACGGCGGGCATCCTTTTTTTAATTTTTTTTTTTTTTTTTTCAAAGGCTTTTTTTTTTTTTTTTTTTTCAAATTTTACTGGTTAACATGGATAATATATTTAAGGTGTAGGCAAGCTTGGCACTCCAGCCATGCTGAGACTACATATCCCATCATGCTTCTGCCTCTGTAGATCTTGCAATGTCTTGTGGGATTTGTAGTTTCACCACAGCTGGAGTGCTGAGGTTGCCTACCCCTGATGTATACATTCTGATTATAGGACAAAATCATCCACCCCTGGGTGTTCCTGCAAGTAGAAGTCTTAAAAGAAGGAGCATATACAGATAAATATGAATGTTATAACTTTAGAATAATGTAAGAGATTATAAGTCGAAGGTGTTTAGGATAGTTATATATATAAATTAAAGCCTAACTCCATTTTCTTTAAGTTAAAAACTATACCACAGCAGGTTGCTGCACGGCAGCGCAGCACACTGTCCTGCCATGCAGGGACCTGAATGGAGTGTACAAACATTTTTTGTACATTCCACATAAAGTTTCAAAAATGTAAATGGTGACGGCTTCTGCAGTGTGTGACACAATTCACCCTACCGGAGCTGTCACAATGCACTGCATTTCAGCAACGAGCTAGTGGGAAACGGGTCCTACAGTTTCTGTCAATTTTTTTTCTCTTCCTTTTATTGAAGGACACAACAGGATCCTTAGAATTCTCACCAATGGGTTTATATCACCACCTGTATGAGTAGGACACTAGCAAAAACGTAACCCAGTGGTCAAGGTTTCTGCTGTGTCCTTCAATGACTGTATAGAAAAGGCTTTTACGGTGTGTACAAAAATCCTATTTATACTAGTGTCCCTGTTGGTGACATTTTTTGTTGCTTCCTGTTCCTTGGATGCCCGTGCAAGAAAAGGGGGGAGAAGTTTTCACTGGTATAGAAGGATTCAGAAAGTAAAAAAAAACCCTTACCATTCTCAATAAAAGAAATGGGCATTCTTGATGTTTGCTAGATAAAAACAGCATTAACATTGTACAAATACTTGGCTGTCACCAGAATCTGTAGATCCATTCTGCTCTGCGCCTGTAATGAAGAAGTTGCATGCTGCTGGTAAACCGAGCAAGCCTAATCCCGGGGAAAACTATTTGTGCAGTGTTGATGCTATTCTTAACTAGCAGCCGGAGGAGCTCATTCTTTTCCAGGGTTTTTTGTCTGCTTTTAACCCTTTCGCTGCCAAGGACGTACGTCGTACGGAGCTACAAAAGTGCTTCCAGCTGGCCAGCTCAGTACGCCGTACAGACCTAGCATTTACAGTTCTACAATAAGCTGATAGTCGCTTTAGCGACCATCAGCTTATAGTAGAACTGTTCAGCAGACTGTCCCCTTTAAATTTATAGCTGTCATCAGTGGCTCACAAGCCGCTGATGACCGCTATTTTAAAAAATACCGGGCGCCTCCCCCCGGCATCTGTCATCTCTCTTCCCTCCTTGGAGCCATCCCAGAATCTATCAGTACCAGAGAGGGATTAAACAGGGTGCAGCATCAAAATGCAGATGTCTGCCAGTATCTGCCTACACAACCCCTCCAGTGCTCTAGTAGTCCAAAATCGCAGACAGCTGTAACATGCTGATTTTGATAGTTCCTATCGGTGTTACCAGGCCCCCTCCTGCATGTTCCTATTGCTCGCCTAAAGTACTAAAAAATATAGTGATGGGACGGTAGGTTCATGAGGTGGATTTATTACCTTTCAGCCTCCCTCCTGGGCCTCACTATTGACCCAACACTGTGATGACTTCCTATACCAACCAGCAAGGCTTAAAAGAAGAGGAGGAGCTGATGTCCAGGGAACAGGTTGCATACGGCACTATTTAAAGCTAACAGGGCCTTCTGCATAAAATCCGACAAAACAATTTTTACACAATAATGGTCAGTTTAAGGTATCACCAAGGTTTTGCACACATTTAAAACTATTTCTTTTGAAACAATATATTTAACAAACGTTCATGTAATTAGGTTTGGTTTTTTTACACAGCATGAAGATGAGCCGCCTCAAAGTGTCAAGCCTCAGTCCGCTGAGAAACCCATGTCAAAAACAGCACTAAAAAACCAAAAGAAGAGAGAGGCAAAGAAAGCCACCAAACAGGTACTACATATTTCCATTAGGCAGGGTAGACCTATGCAGCCAGGACCCATATGACACATCACCTTAAGCATTACTTTTGCATACAGTCACACTGCCCCCAAGCAAAATAGCAAGTTCAAAAAAACTGCAAAATGGCTTTTGACTTTGGCCTAGGTTTTGCTAAGGCATTTATATAATACAGAAAATGCATCAATAAGAGACATACAGGCTAATGTAGTCACTACCCACAGCCACTCAGATTTTACATTGCCAAGAGATCAGTTCTGATTGGTTGCTATAGATATACGCTTTGCCTACCTAAATGAGCCTGATGGTCTTTTGTGAAATTACTAGCATTTGAGTCTCTACTACAATGTTTTTTGGCAGTGTTGGATTTACTTACATCTGCAATCAATAGAATGTTTTCGTTCTGATGTAATGTTAAATATTTCAAGTTGTTTGAAAATGTGTCACGTGAACCCTATTAAAGGGATACTAAACTCAGGAGTTGAATCTTAAAAATGCATTAAAGTACCTTGACTATTAACAGAAATGTATCTTATTTGTGTATCACTCGGCTGTAGGTCCTCAAATCATCTCTGAATTGGTGCGGCATTGTCCTTCCTTCTGGAGGTTGTCTACTTATGTTCCCCATGGTCCCTGTGTGTGTTGTAAAGTAGTCACCGCTCCAAGCTCGCTCCTGTGATGGACTACAATCTCATGTTTAGTTTACTCATTTTGTATTGAGGTTGTAGTGTTATCACGGGAGTGAGCTTGGAGCAGTTGCTACTTTACAACACACACAGGGACCATGGGGAACATAAGTAGACAACCTCCAGAAGGAAGGACAATGCCGCACCAATTCAGAGATGATTTGAGGATCTACAGCTGAGTGATACACAAATAAGATGCATTTTTGTCAATCACTCTGCTTTTTTTTAATAGCCGATATACTTTGCATTTTTTTGAATGTATTTTTAAGGCTTAACTCCTGAGTTTAGTGTCACTTTAAACACATGAAAAACTATGGAATATATCAGAGACTTTGTCACTTCTTGCTTCATATCATAATTTACTAGAAGACCATTGTGATGAGCAATAGCCACTGTGTGTTCATTTGTGGGGTTGTGTGCTTACTTTGTAGGAGGGCAAAGCAGATGAACCTGCTGAACAAGTTTTGCAGAGTAACCAGAATATTGCTTCAGCCACTGTGACAACAGGAGACCCTGAAACTGACAAAAAGATCAAGAATCTAAAAAAGGTGTGGTAGTATGTACAAAAGGGTTTTTAGTTTTTTTTCATTCTGTTTTTCTGGAAATACGTGTTTGTTACGCAATGTGTCCCATGTCCTTTCATATGTTAAATGCATTATCTGGAATGTCATGATGACAGCACATCATTCACGTTATGAATTTTACTACTTAAATGATTTGCATAATTTACAAGGAATTTGCATAGTTATCTGTGCGCAAGACTTAATTTCAATGTTATGCCTCTTAGGCCATTTTTGTTTCTGTTCCCGTGTGTCCTCAGTTGTATAAATGTAGATATGAATGCCTTGTGTTATCCTTAAACGAGAATTATGAGGTGAGTGATTTTCACTTAGCCTCATAATCTGAGCCGACCTGTGACAATGAAACTGTCACAGGTCGGCTCAGTAGATCGGTAAGTGAGTGAACACATACCGGCGCTCGCTCACTTCTCCATCTAGAGAGCTGTGACCGCCACTCACGGCTCCCTGCTGGGATTCCCCCCCTGCCCGCTCCTCCAGCGCTGACTGGCGAAAAGGACGGGGGAGGGGGCGGGCACAGCTGACTCTGCCTCTGGATAGGCAGAGCCAGCTGTCACTCACGCAGCTGGGTGGATCCAGACAGTATTGTCGGGATCCGTCCCAGCTGCGGCGTCTCAGTATACCACGAGCTGTAGCTTGCGGTATACTGAGCTTTGGATCACGGGACAAGGCTAGTTTGTGTTCTCCCGTGACCCTTAGGAGAACTATGGGGAAAAGCCCTCACCCCATAGTTCTCCTTTAAAGGCCCAAGGCACACCAAAAAACTATATACCGACTCCCGCAGTCTTTCCTCCTGTGCTCTGCTGACCTCATCACGTCTACTACTGAATCCATAGTCCTGCATTAGACTTGAGGTTACATTAGACTTGCCGAGGGACATTCCACCAGCTGGAGCAATTGGGGAGAGAGGTAAGTGTCGACCGCCGTGGGTGTGTGGATCAGGTACGTAAAAGTGCTTTACTTTGGCCTCATAGGCATAAATTAGCAAATAATCCTTGCAGTGCCGGGGCGCGTATTTTTTCCGCTTGCCCAGAGATAGGCTTTAAGGGAATAACTGTAACAAGAAAAGGTCAGCGTTAAGCAGCTGTAGTCTGTCTTGAAAACTGTAAATAAATACTTTATTACTCCAGCAGCCATACCATTGTGCTGCATGGCCTGTGGTATATAGAGCTTTACAATAGAAGCGATTCTGGCTACTCAGCTGTAGCCAGATCGATTCTACGGGCCGGTCAACTCCCCTCCGACTGACAGCCACGCTGTGTTTCCAGAGCTCCGCTGCCCCTCCTGCAGGCCCAGGCCTGGCATTTTGGGTGTCAGCGGAAAGGTGGGGAGGAGTCTGTTCACCGATCTCCTCCCCGCACTATGGGACCGAGAGCGAAGCGTATTGCATCACTTCTGGTCCCATAGCTGTCATTGCTGGGCTCCTGAAGCCCAGCAATAAGCTATTGAAGTGCAATTTGCACTTCAATAGCTTATTTAAAGTGGAAAGGTGATACTAGGGGTCTTTTGGACCCCCAGTATCACCTTAAAGAGTACCTGTCACTGCCACTATGCTATCACATGGGGGATTTGTAAGCCTCATATGTTATAGCAATTAAAGTTAAAAAAATATCAGTTTTAAAATATTATATTAAAGTAAATAAATGTAAAAATAATTTAAAAAATACAATTTTTGAAGTCCCTCCCCTCTTCGTGAGCATGCGTGTCTTCACGTCAACACGTACGCAAAAACGATGATCGCGCTACATATGGGTATCACCACGCACGCCAGAGTTAGAGAAATAATTATAGGGCCAATATTTATGCGTATCTCTAAACTGATAACCTGTAGGGGCTTTTAAATCGTCGTCTATGGATTTTTTGGGGTACTGAATTTCATCGCAGTTTCACTGACTTAAATGCGTAGTCATTTAAATCTATCCTGCATTCAGCAATTCTTTTTTCTGACCACATCCTCTCCGGTCTAAACCAAGAAGAAAAGTTCAGCTTTCATGATGCAGTTGGAGTTTCCCGTTTTATATGTGCTGTGCTCTGCTTATTTTGAACATTTGACATCTTATGTAAGAATTTACCATTCCTGGAGAACTGTGGGTGAAGTAAAGAAATGGAAGAGCTGAGGCCTTCTGCTTTTAGGCTAAGAGATGAGTCACTCACCTGTGTATGTACATTTCAGCTTTTGCTCTGTAAAGGGCTTTACAAGAAAGCGACAGCCTTGAACACACTGCATAAAAAGGAGCCCAAAGCTCGACACGCTGGCTTCGAAGAATACAAAATGTTAATATGCAATATTTTATTTTAATTTAAACAAACAAGAAGAGAATGTCCATGTCATAATATCCATTAGAAATAGTGTAGAAAAAAATAATTATGCATTCCCTTTAAAGAAAAGGAGGTAAATGGTAAGCTGTTACAAAGAGAGGTGTGTGTGGGCCTCCATTGTGTTTTTGATATGCATGTGAAAGAGATTAGCTTATTGAAATGAATGTCATGTTGTGTGTTAGTGTTTTGAAAACCTATGTGAGAGGAGATATATTTACACATGTGTTTTAAAGGAATCCTCTGCTAAAGGAAATATGGATTGCTGACCTCCGTCTAAAAATGCTACTCGCATGGCTTTCCCTGGCTACAGTCACTGACTGGAACAAGAATGCAGATTGGAAAGTCAGTCCGTTCATCCTGATCTATCTACTTGTTATAAGGGGTCAGCATGACAGCCAGGGAGCTATTATTGTCAGAAAAGGTAGTAATGCAAACCTCCACACTTCCTTACTACAGTTTTCCTTATAATGAAGAGTTGTTGCACTAAATGAATTCCCTTCTCATTTACATAATTCCCATGAGATGAGAATGCTGAAAATTAGTAGTGTTCAAATGTCCTCCTAAAATGTGTCCATTCTCACTTCTCCATTGCAATGCACCAATTGGCATACATTTTTGTTGTTGTTTTTACTGTAAAATGGAGTCATTTCAAGAAACAATTTTTAGATACAAGCATTGCTTAAGTGTGCTTTGTAAAGGGTGGCCACTGGTTTTGAAGTGACCCCCTTAAGGGCCAACTATAGCCAAAAAAAATTTTGTGCCGCACATTCAATTTTGTGTATGTTTTTCCTACTTGATCGTGAGGATAGTGCCTGCTGCTCTCTTTAGGGATTAGAGTAGGGGCGCAAGGTTTTTTATTAGCATGATGATAAATCTTGTGTAAGGTGTTTTTTTTGTTTTGTTTTTATTGTTTCCTGTGTCCCTGTTGGGTTGATTCCCATGATCTCCTGGGTGATCCCCAGGTCAGGAACTTGCAGATAAATCTACCTAATGGGGTGGGGGAGTGGGGGGGCAGACAACAACAAAACGTGACGCAGGTTTTAGCCCTGTCCACTTCACCCAAAACAAATAAAAAAACTGAACAGTTTGGGATATATATTTTTAAAGTACACGCTTGTGTTTGAGCAAAATATTTCCCTTCTTGGCCCTCTCAATACAGTTGTGTCACCACTCAAAACCACCCATAGGTCTATATTTTCCTTCTCCAATAATTTCGGCCTTCTGTGCACCCCACACCTGTGCACTAACCTCCCATAGATTTAAAAATAATATTTCTCCTTGCAGTATAGTTCCATTCCAGTGTACAGGATATTAGTGCCTGGGCATGGGCAGCCTGGCACTAGATTTTCACCTGCAGAGCCATAGGCACCAGGAGAGGTAAGTACGAACCTGCAGGGGGGACGAGTCGTGAACATGTTCTTTAAGCACAGGGAATATTCTCAAGCCTTACATGTAATAGCCTACTACTTAATCTCTGTCTTAATTTTTTGTAATTTGTGAATGGAATGCAAACTTCAGAAACCTGTATGTACCCTGTGACCACGCTATATCTGCATTACCTGCAAATGTTCAGCAGGCCGTGCTGTTGCTTTTGTATTTGTCTTCTAATATCTGACACTATGTAGTTTTCCAATGCAATCAATGAGCTTCAGGCACCAATATATTTATTGTTTGACAGAAACTGAAAGCAATCGAACAACTGAAAGAGCTCCAGGCTTCAGGCAAGACGTTAGAAAAGAACCAGGTATTGTCCTCTCTTTGTTCATGCTCAATACAACATGCATTTAGTCCTCGAGTGTTAATGTCATAGAAGGCTTTAGTAATGCGATGGCAGCGAAACATGTTGCAGTGAAGATTTCCAGTATTTTAACCCCTTCATGGTTGAGCTTTTATTCAGATTCTGTTCGTAAGTGACAGTAATATACTTTCTTACTAAGTGCACCCACACATATTATATATTGTTTTTTAGGGGACAAATAGGGCTATATATTCAGATCACATATGTGTGCCTAACGCCTCACTTAGTATGACTAACATATAAAAAGAGAGGAAAAAAACATAAAGAAAACACCTTTTCCCCAGTTTTTTTTTTTTTTTAAATAGCACAGCTAAAAAAAAATGCATTAAAATAAATTCATTTATTTGGAAACACCTTATATCTTTAGGATTTCAGCCTAAAAATAAAATTCTATTTTCTTTCTCTTAAAACTAATAATGGTTTGGTTAAGTAGCCTACAATGTCACTGTCATGAAGTGACTGTCACACGTAGGGACAGCGACATACTTTGAATAACGCCATCATGAGGGGGTTCAATTAAAAAAATGAACCCCTTAGGGTGAATAACAAATCTGCAGCTCAGCTGCAGATTTTCATTGTAAGGGGTTATTTTTTTTAAATTTTTTTTATAATTCTTATAAAAATATATTTATATATGTTTTTCATTATTTTTTTTTTTACACATTTGTTTATTTTTTTTACACTTTTTACACAATTTTTGTAATTGTTTTTGTCTATTTTATCAAGCAGTCACCATGACTGCTTGCTAATTTAATTAATTTTTTTGAATGTTTGTTTATTATTGGGCTGCTCCAAACTTGGGAACAGCCACTAATAACCTTAGTGACACTGGTCCTGACAGCATGACAGGATTAGATCTCTCTAGGACGATCAGAAGTTTGATACATTTCAGCAAAAGAAATACATTGTTTCTTATTGCTGGCTGAAGAATGTAGCAAACGCCTACAAACATCGGGACTTGCCCCATGTCTATAGAGCTGTCAAAAGTGAAATAGCAAAAGCAGTGAGTCGTGTTCTGCTTTTGCTATTTCACCTGTCAAATGCTGGATCGCAGGTATTTGTAACAGCTTCTATCTTTCATTTATAAAGGAAAGAAAGAAGCTTTTACAAAAGCTTAACTATTTAATTAATGGATGCCTCAATACTGAGGCATCCATTAATGAACGGTAACCACTGATTCTCAGCATCCATTAATGAACGGTAACCGCTGATATAAGCCTCCAATAATCCCATGCACACCAGTATCCTTCACTGAGAACGGGAGGGGCGTCACTCTGAGCCAGTCACGATTCTGTTGCTTTGCTTGCTTAACACCGAACATGCTTCCAGGAAGGGATGACCTCATCATTGGCCTGCTGCTTCATTGTCCAATCATAGACCGGGAGATGAGAGGTGAAGAAGGGGAGGTAGAAATGATTGGCCATTTTTTTCCCCCTCCAGATGGCCAAGTACCGTTACCATGACTTCAGAAGAGAAAGGTGTTGCACTGTACAAATGGAGGATGCTTGCAGTCATAAGAATAAGACATTTATGTGGGAATAATAATTGAGACCCTGGCGTTATTATAGTCTCGTTCCAACGCAGAGCTATACTATGCTGAAAACACCACTCATGTAGTCACGATCTATGCATGCATTAACACACTTTTTTGTGCGTGTGTTGACATTGCGTTAAATGTAACCGGTTAGGAAAAAATGTAATAAAAATACATTCAGCACATCTCTCCTATACAACCACATTTTACCCATGTTCTCTTTAAAAATGCTGCAAGTACAGACTAATACCTGTTGATCCTGCTAGATGTATGGTGAGCTCCTAATTTCCTGACAATGTTGCAATAAAATCACACATTATCAGCACTACTCAGTTCACCTCCCCCCATGCTATGGACATGAGGAAAAGGGGGAGGTATTTTGTAGTCATAACATGCTTCTTGTCCCACAGTGACAACACAGCTCTTCCATAGATACAGTATAGTGAGTGTTGTTATCCTGGGACAGGAAGTGTTACTGGTAGGATAAAGTGACAATAAAGGGTTAAGAGAAATAATGTAGCCACTACATGTAAAGACCGGTAAGCTGCAATCTGATGGTGGGTGGCACTTTAAGAATGCACTAAAAGGAATAACACAAAGCATTTAATTTCTTTAGGCTGCGTTCACACCTACAGTATGCAGCACATAGTACTGCAACACACTTTTAGGTGCTGTATATGTGTGTTGCTGATATTTCTGAATGACACCCAAATGCACATGTATAGAATAAATAGCTTCAATAACTGCAACGCACAGATGCTTAAGCTATTGCTTAAATGTATTTCAGGTAAGTTAAGGCTCATTAAAGACCTATTGAAATGAATGGGCTGGTTTGATGTGTATCTAAACCCAACAACAAGAATGTAAAATATTGCTGCTTTGCAACCTACAAGCAAAAAGGAAACACAGATAAAAAAAAAAAACTTTTTTCAAGTTTGCCTACTTATAATTTTAAAAACAGTGTTACTGTAGACGGAAGTGCAAATGTTATATACATTTTCCTGGTTTTATAATCAGGCCCATCAAATAACTGAGTGTTATTCCTCTTTATTGTGCTATGAGGCTAATCACACTTCAGGCTGACATCAGTACTCCCAGGAAATGAAAGGACAGTGGGGTGGGATAAGAACAGTTTATTTAGGCACATTGATGAGCACTGGATGTCACCCTGCACCTTCCCAGAAACCCAGTGAAACAAATATAAAAGGAAATGGGGTTAGGGTTTCTTTTAATTGGATGTGCTCATCCCTAACCAGCGGCAAGTAAGTTACAGTGTATATGGTTCACCTAAATGTTTCCATGTGTTCATACTGTGAAAAAACATCTTGTGTAAATAGTCTCCAGGGATCTCTTTGTACTACAAATGTGTTCAGCCTACTGTGTGTTCTCAACATTCCTATAAAAAGACGAAGGCTTCCTTCACACTGTGTGAATGTGCGGTTTAGGGTTCCATTGGCAGGAACCTACAGATTAATTTGGCAGGAATCCCAAATCTCCGATTTAGCTGTCACATGTTCAAGTTACTGGCCAGGTGACAGTGACCACATCTATAAGCAGCACTTCACATGTAATCACAATGCATGCTATTTGGAATAGATCACTATCCCGGGATGCATACAGGGATAGCGTTCCACTTATAGATGCTGCTAGGAAGGAAATGATATATAGCTTAGGCGGTAATATGTAACGGAGACCATGGGAAACACAAAGAATCAGCAGTCTATCAGTTTTAGGCTGATCTTAAGTAACGATCTCGAGATGAAAGTGTCAATCAGAAGATAACAATGTTCAGTGAGCGGTGTTAAAAGTCGGGAAAGGAAGACAAAAAACAAGTCCCTGTTGATCCCTTTCTCTTTGATCCAGCGGCCCCCCTAATAATGGGTACTCACCAGAATGTAGTGAGCAGGCAAGCTTCTCAGGTTTGTAACGGTTTAGTCCACGGTCCTGTCCCGCTTTGAACTTGATTCTTCCCACACTGGAACCAGACGAGAAGGGAATTTGTCCTCTGCGGCGCTGCAGCTTTTCTCAGCTGAGATCCATCAACATTGCAGAGTGCACAGGACATGGGACTAGATTTCCAGCAGGATTGCAGGAGCTTTTTTTGCACATACTGGACAGATACAACAAAATTATTTTAATGGTATTTTTATCAGACCAAAAGGAAGCAAAAATGTAAGTTCATTGTTGGGGTTTACATATGCTTTAAATCCTGATAAATGGACACTAGAGAGAGCATTTAGAATCCATATACAAAATACAGCAATGAAAATATGGAATTGTATGCAATAAGCAAAATATGATGGTTGTGTCAATAAGTATATTCTGGGAATTGTTACAAGAACTCTGAATGTTTACTGAATAAAAGCGCACCACCATTTCCCTGCTAATATTTACAGTTACTCTCTAGCTATTGCAAAGTTAAAAAAATCTTTTGCTGAAATATTTGACCATACTGTTACTCTTTCGCAGGCTGAGAAAATCGAAAAAGAGGAAGCACTTCTAAAGGAAATCGAAGATTTAGAGCTTGGAGTGTGAATGAATGTACTGAGGAACTATGAACAATGATGTATGGTGCAAAGGCTTGATAATGGAGAGAAGTGAGAGAGAGAGAAGTTAGCATATTATTGAAAAGCAATGTTTTCTACCTGGACAAGAAGGTTTAAACATCTGTTAATAATTTATTTTATTCATTACAATACAGAAAATCCAAAAACTGGAGAATGTGGAATGTATGATTTTTAACACTTAAGCACTTGCACAATCAGTTTCAATTAAGGGTTAGGTTGCATTTTTCATGGTGCATACTGTGCTTTTAAAATCGTTCTTTTCAAACATGGCCTGGACTAGTGAAATGGGGGATCTTTGAATAGATGGTGATAGTGATAGAGGTGACCAATCAGATGAAGCATCTTATCTCAACACAAATCAACCTGCAAATCCTTGTTCAGCAGGTTAAAGCTGACAGTAAATAAAGATATGCAGTGTCATTCTGGCATGTTGTCTAAGCCAACACCTAAACAAAGGTGCCTTTACTGCTATTTTAAGAGCTAGAAGCAGAAATCCCAAAGCATGGTACCGAAGATACTCTGCCAACAATGTTTAGCACACGTCTTACAAGCTTATTCATTCTGTAAAGTGTAATGTATCTCAAAAGGACAGTGCAAAATTGGCAAGGACTTTCATTCTACCTGATTGATCTTAGAACTGACACCAGTGCCATCAAATTATATTTACAGTTAGTAGTTAGAATGCATTCTCATTGTTATTTCAATACACTGCTAAAATTGATTGCACTGTCTGCAAAATCACGGTTTCCATTCCACTTAATAAACATTAAAAGGTGATGTAGGAAGTATGAAAAAACATTTTCAAGAAAGCCAAATTGTAGTAAAATTTTGCAATGAGAAATATTAGGGCCATTGTTGGTGACCTCCTTCTGAAAAAAACAAATAGGGGTCTATCTGTCATGTTGACCCTGGGGCTTCAATATTATCTGAGCCACTGAAAGGAAAGTCAAAGGGTAAAATATTAGTTGAGGGTCAGTATGAGAGTCTGGAAACATGAACAGAATGAGGAGACAGCATTGGCAGTCTTTACGCTTCTCTCAGGAATGGTTCTCTAGAAGTGCACATGATTCCTTTCTCTCTGCATAGTATGTATAGCTGGAATTTTGTTATTTTATGTATACATGTGAGAATTTCCTCAGTATTGTTGTCAATACTGTCTCAGCATGGCTGGTTTGGTTAGCTACTACAATCAAAATTTGTCAAGGAGGTTTATTTTACACCCAGTCTTTTTCCTCTACTTCTAGGGTAACTAATTAATTCAGTACTGCAAGTTGACGCACATTCCCACCTGTACATCATCCCCTTAGAGTCACATAAACATCTATCACCTTTATTAATTCATTTTTAAAAATCCCCTTTTCTTTTCCCCTTCCTCATTTTAAAAAGTGCCCTTTCCATTTTAGAGGGAGGAACTGTCCTTATTCATTATCTTTCTTTTATCTCCAGCTCTGCTATTCTTTTCCTTTTTCATTTCTATAACTCTTTCCCTCCAAACTAGATTGTTACCAAACACCTATGCCCAATATGTTTTGCCCATATAGGGCTTCATCAGGACATTTTCCCCTTAGCTTAGGGAACAAGCTGAAGCTTTGCTGACTTCCATCATCCAATCATGTCCCAGCAAAAATACAGTTTTTTTTAAAAATCTCGTTTTCACATGATTGGGTATTTTTGCAGAGTGTTATCACTGAGTCTTATTTTAGTCTATCCATGCTTCTAAGGGTTGAGTTGATTGCACTTGCAATAACCCCGTGATCACAACACACAGTAAAGCCATGTATCTGTGATGCTTTCATTCTTGTTTGCATCCAAAAACACATGCTAAAAAATGCATGTGCACTATAATGCACCATGGCAGACATATGTGAATGCTGTGTGTGTTGGGTTGCCAAAAAAAGTGTAGAAGTGTTATTCTGTGCAATGCTGAGCACTGAGGGCTGAATCAAAGTGATTGGGATGCCTTAACATAAACAAGTGTGTCAAAGTACAAAAACATGCATTGAAGCCCCACTCTCGGCTGTTGTTAAATTAACTTAAGCAGTAGGGTCCAAACCCCCCTATGCTGCATGGGTTCAATGCTTGTTTGGCTAGGAGGGGAAAAGGAATAAGTATAAAACCTCAAAATACCATCCCTGAAACAAAACTCTTTAATGAAAAGGAAGCCTTGCAGCAAAAACAAAAAAAGGAGTCTAACTTAAAGACCTATCAACATAAAATAAAAACGAATATAAACCCAGAATGATAGCCCCTTTAACAAAAGCCTCATTTTTTAAGGCAAGCCTTCTCTGTAAAATAAGCAATTCAACCTAAAACAAAAAGCTCTAGCAACATAAAAATTATATACCCCAAAGTAAGTTAAAGTCTCAAAAATACTGCCCTATACAGCTCCATAAATGCTTGTGTCATCTCTGAGCCAGAATCTCAGTCCAGGAAGTAGATGTGGACCCTAAATAGTGCAGAAACCAAGATGGCAAAAAGCAGAAGAAGGCATTGCCAAGGGGAGTGGTGTGATCTCTGTAAGAGGTATTTCATACCTGTAAGTATTACACCTAATGCATGTATGCACTTAACATGATTTCAGGGTCAGAAGAATGGTTCAGTGTTAGTGTTAGGTGAAAGGTTGCATTTCAGGGTTAGGTTAAAACCCAAGTGGAGTCACAGAAACAGATGTTCAGTCACAGTGCTGTTGTATTAGCAAACCCTGATTTACAGATTGTTACCTCCACTTTACTGTTATAGCAGGTAAATAGGCTCCACAGTTTGACTGCACTGCCTAGTTCACTCTATAATCTAACAGACATGGTAAGACATGTCCAGGGCCTGCCTGGCCATAGGGCAAACCGGGCACTTGCCCGGTGGGCCGGCCCGAACACCATCAGCCTGTTTCTGTTCGGCCCGGCAAGCTATGCCCGATGTCCGCTCTGAACGCTCCACTGATCACAGAGCGGCCAAGCTTATCACACACTGAGGGAGCCACCCCGCCCCCACCAGCTGACATCAGACCTAGGAAGACTGTGAAGGACACACGCTGTGCTCGTAGGAACACAGAACACAACGTCCAGTAGAAAGTAAGCTGACGTGGAAGAGGGGAGGAATCATCACCACTGAGTGACCAGAGCTCCACCTCCTCGTCTCATGCTGGACACATTGGAGGCCAGGAGCCAGATTGAGAGGGGGCCAGGAGCCAGATTGAGAGGGGGACAGGAGCCAGATTGGGGGGGGGGCAGGAGCCAGACTGAGGGGGAGGACAGGAGCCAGACTGAGGGGGAGATAATCAAAAGAAACCCAACGCACACCTGACCAGATAATACCCTCAAGTATCGGGTGTGTGCCAAGCGACCACATATGCCTCCGCAAATCAATATGAAGAAGTCACTCGCACTCCAGCTCAAATTCAATCAATATTTTATTGACCTCTGTGGTGTCGCAGCATGGCTGTGCATGTCATTGCTATGTTGTGACACCACAGGGGTCAATAAAATATGGCTAATACCCATGTCAGGGACCCAGGCAGATCGAGTGGCTCAGGCCCCTACCAGGGTCGGCATGGCAGAGGTGACGGGGCAAGGTGGAGGTGTAAGAGGCTTTGCCCCAGCAGCACCGGTCCGGCGAAAACCATGTAGGCTGTGGCTGTATGGAACCCCATGATTTCTAATGGTGGTCCTGGACACAGACTGAGGGGGGCGGCACAGGGGCTAGACTGAGGGAAGACATGGGCCAAACTGAGGGAACACATGAGCCAGACTGAGGGGGAACACAGGGGCCATACTGAGAGGAAACAGGCCAGACTATGAGATGGAGGGGTGTGAGGAGGAAGTGTTGGTGCTGCTTAGGCTGCTGCTCCAGTTTGGCCTGCAGGGGGTACATGTCCCCGGGGCTGGTACATGGCATGGCTGAGGGTGCTAGGGGGCTAGTGTACTGCTCCTTGTACGACTAATTATGTGGGGGTATATACATAGAGTTCCCTTCACTGGAACTAAGGGGCCAAGCCCAACCCCCGTCAGCTGCATGTTTTCAGTGGTGAAAACTAAGTTAATTGGTCTCAAACTATGATGAAAATACATTGCAATTTTCATCGACGAACAAAAACGCAACAAACATGGGAGGGACTATTGCATTTACCTATTTGGACTTCCGGTTCCCTCGGAGCTCTGCCAAAGCCCCAGTCCCCTGACTCTATTGGCAGCTGGATTGGCTGAGATGCAGGCTCCATTGGTCTCCCTGCTGCCTGGATCAAAACCCTTTAAACTGCAGAGAATACTCCTCCATAGGTTACTGATTCATCTGATTTTGCCTGCTACTGTCATAGGAGTGTTTTCTCCTCCCATCTTCCTAGCAAGTTAGCACTGTGTAACAGCCTTCTCAGACTTGTTCCCTCCCTCATACCCATTTACTTCCCCATCCCCACTCCCAAATCCTATGAAACTTGGTTTTATTTAATTTTAAGTTAAATAACGACGTTCTATATCAGAACGGATAAATCTGTGCCTGTATTGCATGTTCAAACCTTAATACCAGGTTAATAGAGGTTTACTCCAGGAATATATGAGTTTGGAAATTCTAGAGAATTGCTTCAATCATGCATTACACTTTAAATAAACCCAATAGATTTTAGTTGACTAAATGTACTGGAGATTTAGTCAACAAAACTAGACTAAAACAATTTAGATGACTAAAATACGACTAAAACTAAATTGAAATTTGCTGTCAAAATTAACTTGGTAATGATTATTAAGAGTATCAGTATAACTTTGAGCTGCCTTACTGGACTGCACAGTCATCATATTTAGCCATCCTGCACAACTGCTGTAACAGAAAAGTGGAGGGAAAAAGACTGAAATGGAGGTTGTTGGTACAGTGTCTCTGTGATGGAATAACAATTTCTGTGACTTAGTGACACTAAACTTGGAAGTTAAACCTTAAAAATGCATTCAGGTAGCTTAACTATTAACAAATATGTAGTGTATTTGTATGTCACTCAGCTGTAGATCCTCAAATCATCTCTGAATTCATGCTAACACTGTCC